AACACAGAAATAAAGCACAGGGTCAGGTACTGGGTAATTCTTGGAAAAAGGACAATAACAAAGTCTCCTGAAAATGCAGAATGCTTTTGTAGCTATGGAGTCCGTAAGCCGTTTATGAGATAAAATTAGAAAGTGTATGTTGTTTTGGTCAAGAACCCAAGTGCTAAGGATTTTAGTTGAGGAAAAACAGTTGTTTTAGCTGTGTCCAAGGGAGGTCAAGTTAGAGGTGAAGCAGGTCTTGCTTCCTTCATCAGTGATGCTTCTGTCCCTTCTCTGTTCCACACACCCCTACTCTGTGCTCTTTCATTTGAAGAGATGCTAACATCACAATACTTGCAGCATGAAGGAATACAGATTCTGCTCTGTGACTTCCCTAGTCTTCATAAAAATATGTCAGCCACCTGTATTTATAAGAACATTGAGAGGGGAGTAGAGGAGCCATGGGAACACTGAGTAATTTTAAATCTCTCCAGGAAATATACCACAATAGACAGATTTTGTAAATGCTTCCACATCATTTCACTCACCTGAAAGTAAGATAGGCATACCGAAAAATCAATCACATCTGAAAGCAATCACTTTTTATAATGAGAAAAATATACCTTGTAATCCACTCCCCCAATTATTTTCCGAACCAGCTTAAATGTTAAGGCCCAAAGCTGTGTTCTTTCCCATTCAAGAGTGTCTGAGTTTATCAGGGATTCACAAACCAGCCTATAAAAAAGAAACAGCCATTCCAGTTACCAGACAGAATTTTCCAAGTTCTCTAATAGCCACTGATATGGTTTGGCTGTGTCCTCACACAAATCTCATCTTGAACTGTAGTTCCCATAATCCCCATGTGTCATGAGAAAAACCAGGTGGAGATAATTAAATCATGGGGGCAGTTTCCACCATCCAGTTCTCATGACAGTGAGTTAGTTCTCACAAGATCTAATGGTTTTATATGGGGCTTCTTCCTTTGCTGGACACTCATTCTCTTTCCGGCCACCCTGTGATGAGGTGCCTTCTGCCATGACTGTAAGTGTCCTGAGGTCTCCCCAGCCATGCTAAACTATGAGTCAATTAAACCTCTTTCCTTCACCAATTACCCAGTCTTGGGTATGTCTTTGTTAGCAGCATGAGACAGACTAACACAGTTAAAATCTGTGGACTAAGTATTATATTTATCATAGCAAGTATTTTTCACAAAAGTGCATTATTACTTAAGCACACTTATAAATATGTGTAGCATTTAACATATTTTACTTATATAAAAGATCAAAAACAAAGACCTAAATAATATTCATTATGCTATATTTTTACTAGAAAGACGTCTATCTAAAGTTTTCAGTTACATGTTTACCATCTATCACCTTGGATTTTTCCAAGAGGGTGTCAAGATTTTTGATCCCACATTTTCTTCTCAAGTGTGACACTGACATTTCTCCCAAGGAGAGATGGGGGAAGGTCTACGTTATCTCATTGTAGATCTGAGAAGGCCTAAGACCATGGCCAAAAGGATACAGTATGACTTCCATGACAAGGTGAGACAACTTCTGCCTAGTCTTCTTTCATACACTTGCTGTTAGACTCCACCATGAAGTGAGAAAGTCGAAGCTACAAGGCAAAGGCCTGTGTAGGTTCTGGCTAATAATCTCCGCTGAGATTCCAGATAACAGCCAGGAACCAACCACCAGGTATGTAAGTGGGTAAGCTTTTGCTCCGCCCCAGTGCTGGCTACATCAATTGTCATCATAAAGACTTTGAGGGAAAAGTGCCTCATTAGCCCAGTCAACCACCACGACCACGAATAATAATTTAAAACCTGAGTATTACTATTTTAAGCCATTAGGTCTTGAGGTTGTACAGCAAAAGTAAAGTGTTACAAACTAATCAAAGTGATTAATCTTAGCCCCTGGGCAAAAAGGCACCTGGTTTTGAGTTTACAAGCATTATATAATTCAAAGACAATTACTCCTACAAACTAAAACCTGAGGTATTATATAAAGGATTATTCGATGAACCTCACTTTCTTATTCATTCTCTTATCTTTTTACAACAACAACCTGAACCAATTTTCAATCACATATAGAAAAGAAAATGCTTCAGATTGCTCACACCCATTAAACATACCTGGGTGGAAGGAGACCAGTCTCAACTGCCATTGCTAAGCAGTCATAAAGGAAAGAAATTCTTTTAGGACTATGCTGACCATGAATAAATTTAACAATCCACTGGATACATTGTTCATGAGACTCCTGGAAAATTAGAGAATGATTTTATTTGGGGTCTAAAGTTATATTTTTATAACAAATAGCTGATACAATTGAAAGTATACCAATACTATGAATGAAATATTTCACTATGAACATCTGTGGATAAAAATAATTTTTTAAAAAGCAAAATAAAAAAATCAGATTTAGTATTTGTCACATTAAGCTTAAAATTTTGCAATTATATAGATAAAATGCCACCATTTTTATTACATGGGACCTTCAAAAGTAGTAATTAACTACTAATTAACATATTAATGATCAATAGAAAACTCAACACAGATAGTTGCAAGGCATTGTAAACAATGCCCTTTATGGCATATATAAATATTACTATCACTGGGGGTAAAATTCATTATGGATCAGTAAGTATCAGCCTTAAGTGAATCTAATCCCTAAGAGCCCAAACAAGAGCCCACTACGAATATAACAACATGTCACATTTCTAGACTTGCAAAACTTTAAATATGATGCCAAAATGTTGTGCCCATCTCAAAGCTGGTCTTCTAGCATATCTCCAAGAAGAACCTATAATGTTCTGCACAATCACTGTTCTCATACATACTTCTATTGTTGCACATATAACAACAATTAAGAAATACCTATTTTCTTCCTGGTTTCTCCATTAGAGGGCCACACCATAATTCATAAAGTGTTTAATGACTCTTTAAAAAAAATGTTGCAAAGATGTTCAACATCACTGAGAGAAATGCAAAATAAAATTATTCTGAAATAAAATTTCTCATGTTTTTTACTGGCAAAGATCAAAAAGCTTAACGCTGTATTGTGAGGTTATAAGCAAAAGATAGGCTCAACCACTACAGATGGAAGTATAAACTAGTATAACCCTTATGGAAAATTTAATAATTATTTCTATAAAAACTACAAACAGATACGGCCTTTGATTCAGCAATACTATTTCTAGGACTTTGTCCTATTTCTCATGCATAATATTATTCATCGCAGCATTGGTTAAATTAGAAAAAGTAAGAAGAAACTTAAAAGTCAGTAGAGGATTGGTCAAATGGAGGAAGGTACAGCCATACAATGAAATATTATGATGCTATTTTTAAAAAAGTAGGAAAGGAAGGAACAAGTAATTCTTGGACTTACAGAAAATTACCTTTAGATTATTAGGAGAAATATATATATGATCATTCTATAGTATATATATATATATGATCATTCTATAAAAATGACTATTGAGATTATATGCCCATGTCTGAGTGGCAAATCTATCACCAGTGGTTGACATGCAAACAGTTCTCATCTCCCTACTTACAGTGTACCATGAGAAGGTAATGTGCTCAAGGATGACATATTTTGTCTTTTTCACGGATACATTTTCTGGTAGCTGTTCTTTGTTACTTTTACAGTTTGTTACTCTTACAGTTTGTTTCCTCATTTTTACTATAGTATCTTCCTATCCTTATAATAGAATCTCGGTATTTCTATTATAGCATCTTTGCATCAATGCTGTGCCAATTCCTTTATTTAGTTAAAAAAAAAAAAACCTGTAATTTGTATCTTTTACAAGTAAAGCTTAACACATCTGTTTTCAAGTGTACCAAATAAATCCAAATAGGATGAAAATGGTCTTAAATAAGCTAACATGGGGGGGGGTTACTTTTTTTTCTTTTTTTTAACATCTCACACTGTGCAATATAAACTTGACTTCTTAACATAAGTTTTCCACTGAAATATACAAATTAAAATAGATGGAAACCAGAATAAAAAAATGATGACAATTTTATTTCTCCCTTCTCAGGAAGATCATAAGAGCAACATCAATGTTAATGTTAAAAAAAAAAGGGGGGGGGAAGCGCCCAAAAATCATCAGCTGAATGTATTAAACATGAAGTGCTCACCTGAGAAAGACCACCCCAAAACTGTCTGAAGGCCCCCAGACAGCTAATTAGTTTTGTTTTCTCATCTTCAGGGGTATCCATAAACATGCTAAAAAAAAAAAATTACATTAGCTGTCATTCGTTTTAAAAAGGTAATTACCCACAATGAGATTAGTGGCTCTTACAACCCTCCAACACGAAACTAAGTGAAATCTGACAGATACAATCATGTAAAAACACAAAAATCTGCCATGCGTACACTCACCCAGGAAAAGCCTCTTCTATAATTTCCGTTTTCTGTAAAAAACAAAAATATAAACAATGTTAAAAAGGGGCCTCCCTTAGCGAAGTATTTACAATGTAACCCAGGGCAAGTCATCTTAATTAGCTCTGAAACTACCAATACCTGTCTGGCCTGTCGTATCAATTTCAAAGGATAAAAAGAACTTGACAGCAGTTTGAGAATCACTAACCCCCCCCGCATACAACGTCGGTGTCAAAACAAGGGGATACAAAGACAGGCGTGAGAGGAGGTTGCCTAGGCCAGTTTCCTTGGTCGGCTGCCCCCGCGTCTCCTAGTCCCTGAGCCATAGTCCTGGATGCCCGGCAGCTGAACTCACCACCACCTCCTCGAAAATGCTCTGCAGTTGCGTCTCCATCTGTACTATCACCCCCGCCTTTCCGGGGTACCGGGAAAGGCCCAGGTTAGATACGAGCTCTGGGAAGAAAGAGGCAGAGGGGCGGAGGCCTCCGGAGGAAACCGTAGCTCCCCGGCGTCGCTTCCCTCCCGCAGCGCTTTACCAAGAGCGTTCTCTCCGGAGCTCAGCCAACAGCAGGAACCTGTACGGAAGACGAGGAAAGCCCGGTGCGCGCTGTTTACAACCCCCGCTGAAACCAGAGGTGCCGCCAGATGGTTCCGGCTCTGGAGAAGGGCGGTCCGCAAGCCGGACGAGAACGCCCCCAAACGGAACCTCAAGCCCAGGTTCCACGGAGGCGTCGTCAACCGTAGGCCGCCACCTCCCGGCTGGAGAAGGAGTTGCTTCCTGCTCAAGGCTAACCTGCGTACAGACTGGGAAATAAAAAGCTTGGAACCCAGAGGCTGCAGCCTGCGGAAAACGCTGGAGCGGCAGCGGTCACCAAGCTAATGTCTGCGAGCTCACCCTAGCCTCCCAAGTAACTGGAACCACAAGCGTGGGCTACCATGCCCAACGCTTTGTAGTTTTTGTAGAGATGAGTTTTTGCCTTGTTGCGCAGGCTGGTCTTGAACTCCTGGACTCAAGCAATCTGCCTGCCTCAGCCTCCCAAAGTGCTAGGATTACAGGCATAAGCTACCATGCCTTGACCAAAATTTCTTAAAGAATGATGAGAAGCTTGAAGGCATTCCCACTGGCCATATCAGAGACAATATGATTATCAAAATAACAAATAATGTATTACAACCCATTAAATAAAATAGAAAACCATGAGTCCACAAAGCTGTGAAGAAATAGATGAATAAATTAAACTTTGGATGAGAAATTATATAGTCACATAGCTTCAATGTAACTCCACAGAGAATACTTATTAACTAAAAAGGACAAAAAGTAACTTTGTGACCAAGAAGCCCAGCAAATATCATTTTAATCAAGTGAGCAAAATGAATACCATCAGTAATAGGAGACATTGAAACCACGCGCCAGCCTGTTAGGATGTGATGAGAAGACTACAACATAACTTCCATTTTTCTGTCACAGTTGCGTAACCTGAATCTAATCACGAGGAAAGATAAAACCTAAGGGATGTTCTACAAAACAACTGGTCTGTAACATTCAAAAGTGTAAGTCAAAAAAGTCAAGTACTGACTAAGAAATTCCTCCAGAATGAGGAAGGAACTGTTCCATGGCAAGTAAATGCAAAACATGTTTTTGAACATAATCCTTTTACACACACACACACACACACACACACCCCACACACACACACACACACACACACACGCCAGGTGGCCAAGGAAGGCAGATCACCTGAGCTCAGGAGTTTGAGACCAGCCAGGCCAACATAGTGAAACCCCGTCTCTACTAAAAATATAAAAATTAGTGGGCATGGTGGCACACACCTGTAGCCCCAGCTACTTGGGAGGCTGAGGCATGAAAATTCCTTGAACCCAGGAGGCAGAGGTTGCAGTGAGCTGAGCTGAGACTGCACCACACTCTAGCATGGGAGACAGAGTAAGACCCCATCTCAAAAAAAAAGGGGGGGGGTCTGAATGGGATCTGAAGATTTGATGGTAGATATATATTAATGTTAATCCCCTGATTTTGTTGGTAATATTGTGGTTATGTAGGAAAATGTCTTTATTTATAGAATATGTACCAACTGACCAGATGCAGTGGCTCACCCCTGTAATCCTAGCACTTTGGGAGGCCAAGGTGGGAGAATCCCTTGAAGCCAGGCATTCAAGACCAGCCTGGTCAACATAGGGAGACCCCATCTCTATTTGTAAATAATTTTTTTAAAAAGATTAAAAAAAATTTTTTTAATATTTTTTAAAAAAGAGTATGTACAAACTGCAGGAAGGAGGATGTGAAACCATAGTTTCTCCCTGAACTCTAAAATAGTTCAGAAAGAAAATTGTTCTTTGCATTGATATCTCCAGCTTTTCTGCTGGTTTCCAATTATTTCAACATTTAAAAAAATTAGTGAAAGTAAAGCAACAAACATGAAATAAAGAAAGAAACACAGCCAGTTGCAGTGGCTCACACCTGTAATTCCAGTACTTGGGAGGCAGAGGCAGGAGGATGACTTGAGCCTGGAAGTTTGAAACCAGCCTAGGCGACACAGTGAGACTCTGTCTCTATGAAGAAAAGTTTGAAAATTAAAAAATAACTGAAACAAACTGCATTTGCAAATAAGAGTAAGACTAATAAAGAAAGCCAGCAAGTCCCTTCAAATACTTGAATTTGAAAGCTGGTTTTCTCCAAACCAGTTCTTAGTGACAAGAATGAGGTGGCTCTGTTCATTTTGTTATGGCATAACCAAGGACCAGTCAGTTCAGTTTATGTATTTCTGTAAGTCTTTAGCTTGGTATTTCTATAAAATGGTTTATAGTTTTCTCAGAAGAAAATATCAAACCACTGCGATGATCACCAGAATGAAAAGAGAACATACAAAAAAAAAAAAAAAAAAAAGGACTGGTTGAAGATACGCTTGAATGAGCAGCATATCAATTGTCCTAGCATTCCTCAGAAATAACCAAGGCTTCGTTAGAAAGAATAATTAACTACCTGGAGCAGCTAAAGCAGATCGAGCCAAGGGTGAGGAAGAAGGGAAGCAAAAGTAAAAGTGTGCTAAATCAAACTAGTGCAAGGTAGAGGCTCCTTGTGGGTGATACAGAATGGCTTGGCTCTCCAGCTAAACTCCACTCTCAAGCCTGGAACCTCAGCTTTAAGTGAAAACAACTGACCTGTTTTCCTACCCAAATGATTGCTTTTTTGGCCCGCCCTGCCCCCATCCTGTGCCCATTGAAAAGATTTTGGCTAGCAGAGCAATACAAGCAGCTGATGCAAGTGGTCACGGATGCAAGCCGCTGAACATCAGAAATACATGCAGCTGAGCATCGGAGACAATAGATAGACCTGGTTAGCTTCAGATGGGTCGGCGTCAGGGAAAGATCACCTACTTCCTGCACCATCCCCTTTCCAATTTCCCATCCTGCTGAGAGACACTTTTATCGCATACACTACCCTTCATACACTGCATACACTACCTGATTCTTCCTGTACACTGAATAATCAAAAAGGGCAGGTGCAGGACACCCTGACCCATCAGTGAGCTGTAAATGCTTAGCCATCCACGGACTGCAGGCTGAGTGAAACGAGCCACTCCAGTTCCTGCCCATGAAGGGGGCTGAGGTCAAGGGAATTATTCCATCTCATTGGGTCTAGGAGCCAAGTCAGAAGTTTTAGGAAACAAGTAGAGGCAGAAAGTGGGTAGAGGTGGCTCGCAGGACTGGAACAAAGTGAGAGCACCTAGTTTGTCTCTTGAGAAAAGCTGATTATCATCAGATTATTGTTAGTGCTGCTGGCCTGACAAAAAGTAGGCTCAACCTTACTCTGGAGAATGAGGCCAGGTTACACACCTTTCAGACCTGTGGGGCCCTGGAAGCCAGGATGAGTAGTCTAAGTTGGCAGCAAATGAGTTGACTGCTTGGGCTGGTAAATAATAAACTGATCTATGGGAAAGACAGGAAAAAGAAATAACACTTGGTTTAGAAGAAATACTGTTTGGATTTGAGGGTCAGGGGATATACCTATCTCCCTAGTGGAACTCCAATGGGAAGCTGGAAACCCTGGATGCTGATGATGGAGATAAAGCAGCTTAGGGCTTTTGGCGATGTGAGTAGAGAGTAGGGAAGCACTCAGCATATGCCATCAGCATGTAAGTAACTTAAGGGCATCTGTATCTTTAGGTTTTCTATTCCAAATTCTGTATAATGCCTCACCTATAGTAGGTGGTTAATAAACATGTTTGGAATAAATGAATGAAAGAATAAAAAAAACTATGAACTAACATTGAAACTGAAAAATAACCTAGGTTCTGAAATGAAAATTTCATTGGTTAAGATCACAAAAATCCCATTGGCTAAGGGATCAGTGTTCAGTGGCTTTAAAGAGGGCAACTCTATTAGGCAGGGTTCTCCAGAGAAACAACCAATAGGATTACACATATATTTCATGTGGAGCTATATAGAGAGATATTATATTACTAGTCAGGGAAGCTTACCTGAGCTTTGGTGCCCAGAGATTTTTATTAGGGCACCATCATGTAAGTGTGGTTCACTGTCCATATTGCTGAGCTGTTTTCCAGTCCCTCCAGAGGTGAAGCTGATACCTCAAGACCCAACCACACACAAGACCAAGTCACATTGTTAGCCTTTCAAGATCCCCAGGCAAGCCAAAACACATATTCATGCCCATACCAAATCCCCTCATTCCAAAGCATATTGTTAGGCTGTCTGGATACAACCAAGATAGCCAAGACTTCCGATCAAACAGAAATGCTTCTATTAAGGGTGACATCCCAAGTCAAGGGCAAAGGCCAGATCTCTTTTTGGTCAAGGGTAAACTGCTTTTGTCTGCTTTTTGTTTTGTTTTGGCTTGGTTTAGACAGGGCCTCTCTTTGTTGCCAAGCCTGGGGTACAGTGGTGCCATCATGGCTCACTGTAATCTTGAATCCCTGGGTTCCAGGGATCCTCCTGCCTCAGACTCCTGAATAGCTAGGACTACAGGTGCATGCCACCACACCTGACTAATTTTAAAAAAAGATTTCTTTGGAGATTGGATCTCACTATGTTCTCCAGGCTGGTCTCAAACTCATGGGCTCAAGTGATCCTCCTGCCTCAGCCTCCCAAAGCACTGGGATTATAGGTATGAGCCACTGCTCCAGGCCTAAAGGTAAAAGTTTTACAGGGTCACACAATACTCATTACTATACAGCCTCCCCTACACCTACTCCCACACTCCAACACATACACAAACGCTGAGCTGGTTAGGTGACGTTCCTTTGCAGGGTTACTTTAAATGACTTCCCAATAATATTCTTCCCAGCATCATATCTATCAGGATAAGTTCCCCTTTAACTGTATGCATTAAACAAAGCTTAAATTTCTCTTTTAAAGGTCTTATCCCTGAAGTAAGGATTGCCTCCCACCTTTTAATTTATATCATAGTTCTGCTATGTAATGGAAACTGTTGATGGGCCCAGTCATCTAACAGAGTAAGGGAATCACCATAAAAGTCCTAAGTGACCAAGAGCTCCCTCTTAGAAGTCACTTACTCTATACTTGGTACTAGAGTGGATCCTTTAAGCACATTTTCCTTTCCAAAGGAATGAGCTGTTTTGCAGATGGTAAAACTAAAGTTTCAAGAGACTAAGGGACTGGCACAGAAAGTAGCAGTATTAGGATGTGAACCTAGGCTAACAACAGAGTCCATTTGTTAGTATGTGTGTGTGCGCACTTGTGTGTGTTTTTGTGTATGCTTATATGTTTTTATGTGTATGTGTGCATATGTGCGTGAATACTACATACATAGACTGAGGCCACTTAGCAAGCTTGACACAGGGGCTTCTCAGACTCTTCCATGTCTTGGTGCCATCTCCATTCCATTTACAGTACTCATCTCCAGCACTGACCTTGGAGTTTCTGTTCTCATGTTGGTTCACTTTACTTCTTACTCTACCAGCCAAAAAAAAAAAAAAAAAAAAACCTGGCTTCCAGCATTCCTGGTCTCTGGTGAAGAGAAGCCCCACGTCCCAGTACCATCTTCCACACTCCTTCTGCCATCTCTGAGCAATGGTTCACTACCCAGGACTCAGTCAAACTTGCTGTGATGGTTAATTTCATGTGTCAACTTATTTGGGCTAAGGAGTGCCCAGCTATTGGGCAAAACATTGTTTCTGGGTAAGTCTGAGAGGGCATTTCAGGAAAAGATTAGCATTTGAATCAGTGGGCAAAGAAAAGTAGATACGCAGTCTTTTGTGAATAGAACAGAAAAAATGAGGAAGGGTAAATGCCTCTTTTGAGGAGGGTTAGAAGGAGATGTGGCTAGGGAAGAGTGGCCAGAGAGACACAAGGTTACTGACCTTGAAGGTGGTGGAAGGTAGCTATTAGCTAAGGAATGTGTGGATAGCTTCTAGAAGCCAGAAACAGACAAACAGTATGTATATATAATACACACACACACACACACACACACACACACACACACGCACACGCACACATATATACACACACATAATTCTTAGAAAAAAGAAATCCGAAGACAATAAAACAGATTT